TATCAAGTCTACCGATCCCCCACGCAGAGATCTTTGAAGTCCGCAAGGGTGTATTTTGGAACAACGTGATGGCGATGGAGAAAACTATTGCATCGTGTTGGGTGGCGCTCCTTGGGGCGAAGTCACACCAGGGATGACGAGCCGCAAACCTCAAGCAGCAGATCATGGTGCATGACAAGCAGATTTGGAACGACGAGCGAGTTAGATGCAGAATGACCTTGGTGGGCCGTGATGATTCTAGAAGACTGCAAGCTCCTGAAGAATGACGAAGTACTCACACATGACAGGGGTATTTCTGCTGGTTCCACCGTGACAGGGGTCCTCAGGCGAACTGCTGTAAGATGCTCTCATCAGGCTGCTTTTGCCCAATTTGGGCAGGAGTTTGATTTGGAGTCGTTGATAGAGGTTGAAATTCCAGACACTGAAAGTACACTTTCTCCAGATGCCGAATCTGGGGCTGCAGGTCTGCTAGAGTGACCACCGAATCGGTCAGCGCTGCAGTTCATTAGCAAGCGTGATTATTCCCAACTCTGTGACCCACATTGGGGCGTTTGCGCCTTTGAACTCTGCAGCTCCTTGACAAGCGTGACAAACCCCGAACTCAGTGACCTGGATTTCTGACTTTGCCCTCTCAAACTGCCGCTCTTTGTCAAGTGTAACCATCCCCAGCTCAGTGACCCAGATTGGGGCGAATGCTTTTAGCTGACTGCAGATCTTTGGCATGTGTGACCATCCCGGATTCAGTGACCGACATTGGAGTTAGTGCGTTCAAAGGTGCAGCCGTTTGGCACATGTGACCACACCAAGCTTGGTGACCCGAATTGGGATGCGTGCCTTCATGGACTGCAGCTCTTTGGAACGTGCGACCATCCCTGATTCGGTGATTCGAATTGACAACTACTGTATATGCCTTTGCAAACTGCCGTTCTTGAGCCTCCAACCCATCGAGTTGGTGTCTTTGCAAGAGGCTTCCACCACCGAAGGTGAAAACCGAGAGCCCAACCGAGCTGTTGAGACACGAAGGACCGCGGGCAGCTGTGGGATTTGTGAAGCCTGACTCCAAAACCCAAAGACAAAAGGTACAGAGTCGAAGAGAGTCGGACGGAGACAGGTTTTTTCTTTAAACAACTATATCAAACATGCAGGGGTCACAAAGGGGTGGTGTTTGGTCCCATCCAGTGAGTGGATCAAACCTCCAATAGGCACCCCTTTGTGACTCCTGGATAATCAAACCAATTGAATAAAAAACATAAACACAAACAAAAGGCTTTTTGCCACACCTGGCAGCAAAGATCACCAGTTCATCCGACTTGGAGTTTTGCCTGGGCCTGCCTTTAAATATTTTGCGAGACAGAGAGACATTCAGAAGCTTTCAAAAATCTGAAGCAGGGAACGTTGTTATCACATGCTATCATTTTGCCCACAGCCACACTGACAACCGGTGAACCAACCCATATCCAGATGCATGTGTTTTTTGAATGACCCCTTCCGGGTTCTATTGCAGGGTGTTCACAGGCATGCACCTCACCACGTCATCAAATTAGCCCAACATAGGACCAAAACGGTGCTCTTATGGAGGTAACTAATCTTCAAGCACACTCAAAAACAGACAATAGCAAAAGACTTTGTGGCTCCATGTTTCTTGCTTTCATGGTGTTGTCAACTGTAAGAGTGGTTCCAAGGAGAGGGTAGACTGGTGTAAACACAGTAAGGAAAGTATGCTGTTTGTAGACAACACGTCATGCAGTGGTGGAAGTCTGGGCCGACTTCGCTCTTTGAAGGATTCTGTGGGCTTTTTGTAGTGCAGGAGTTCTTCCAGTCAGCAGGAGCAGCTTAGACTGGAAGAAAGTCTTTGAAGTCGAGTCAAGGGTGTCATGTGAAGAGCTGCACCCATGGCGTTGAAGAATTCCTGCATGCAGCTCTGGCAGCTCAATGGCAAAGTTTTTGGCTCTGGAAGTCGCACCAGAGATGACTGGGCAGGAATTAAAGCGGCAGATGAATCGGAGCGGCAGATTTTGGGACGATGAAGTCATCGTCCTCGCCATCAGTCGCAAAACTCCGCTGTCGCTGGTGGGGTGGATCTTGAGAGAAAAGACGGTGCTTCAACCAGGGGTTGTGGTGATCTCGTTCTTACTGGATATTTTTGTTGTGTATGTTCGAGATGTTCGAGGTTGCTAGGCATCATGATACGATCTGAATTTTGTTCGTGGAAGTATAATGTTGGATTTGTTGGAATTTCTAAGCAATGCCTTTGCAACCTCCACAGGTTTTCCGCTGTAGCTGTGCATCAAGTGTTTGACCGCGTGTGTCTTGTTTTGTGATAAAGCAAGTGAGAACTTGCACGGCAGTGGCAAGTGCAGATTCGGCAGATTCGCAGTGTTTGGATAAGGCATGACTCCTTCCAGGGTTGGCATACCTTAGTTTTCTGTATTGGTTCACACCTACAAGATGCCCAACTTACCTCTCCGGCATATCTGTTTGCAGACCCCAACAACATTGGTTTCTTGATGGGGAAGCAACATGTACATGCATGTATACCTTCTCTTTCGCACCACTGGTGGATGTAAAGGGCACTCCCTAGTAGAAACACCCAAAAGAACACTCCCACTTTTGCACGTCGTTTTATGTGAACGCGACCACGTCGTGATTCCAACACAGTCGGCCGATAGGAAGCCTACCCGACCCGGCCTGGTAGGAGGTATATAGCCAGATAGCATCAGATAGATAGCCCAACCTTGCGGACGTGTTTGTCGTGCGGCAGGGTCATCCGATTGGACGCATCATCGTCTTGTGGCTCGGACAACTTGTTTAGCTTGGATGGAGAATGTACAGATGCACGGTGCTTGACTGCAGATTTCATCAGATTTCCTGCTTCGGACTGGCGCTTGGGACCTTGCCCATGAAGACTGAACATAGATGCTGGTTGTTTTGGTCGATCCGAGAATGAAATGACAGGAAGGCAGAGGCCCTTCTCCTACAACATGTGTTTACTGTGTGGGTCCACCGCCCACGAGTTCTTTCCCCACCACCCACCTCCCCAGGTGGCGCTTCCCACCGGGACAGTTGACCTTGGAGCGGCAGCTGAACGAAGAGTGGACTGTCATCAAGCAGATACGCGAAGACACTGAGCTGCGCACCGCGCCCTGGTTGAGCCTTTACGATGTGCACCCGCTCCACTCGTCATGCCGATGCCAGGGATGGAGTGTGGAGTGTGGTGAGGGGAATGGGGGAATGGACTGCCATGCAACTTAAAGTGCCTGGGGCAGGACTAAACCCCTTTGAAAAGCACGTCAGGTACATTCTTGTGAGGGATGTTCTTGTCACCCCTGACACCTGAAACCTCCTATTATATTAAACCATCTTAAGTCTTTGAAATCCAAGAAACACCCCAACATGGAACTGTTTTTTTCGATGTCCGGCATGCGGTGCCTTCTTTCGGCCCCCAGGATTGGTCCGGCATGCGGTGCCTTGGAAGCAAGAATGACGGGACAGGGGGGTGGTTCATGGTGGTCCATAGTGGTCCCTGGGTCCTATACGTTCGGATTATCAGGCTCAAGGCTCGAGGTTTAGCAATGCCCTTGTTACTAGTAGATGCCCTTTGTTACCAGTGCGTCCTTGCTACGAGTAGTAATGTCCTTGTTGCTAGTAATGTCCAGATCCAGATGTGGATCTTGCTTGGCACGCAAGATGCAAATGACTCGGCTGGACGTCCGTGTTTACACATGTGGCAGCTGAACTCGCTACACAGGTGGCAGCCTCAGCTTTGGTCCCAGGTTCATGTTGTGTCATTAGTGACTGGTTTGCCCAGGAGCATGAACGCGATCCGGCTTACCATTGACAAGACTGACGTGGTTTGTGTGCCTTGGATTTTCTGAAACCAGGCAAAAGGGTCAGTCATTGAGCGTTCGACGCTATATCAACATTGGTTCGTTGCCTATCGCAGCTGACGTGCCTCTTTAACATCTCTCTTTGCTTTCCTCAGACTTCATCTTCAGTCGCTTTCCTCCCCCTTGAAACACCGCGAGTCCCTGACACCGCCCATCCTCAGACCATTGACTCTGCTTCTGCGTGGACTCCGCAATGCCTGCACTCCCTTCGTCCATCTGCACTGCCGTTCTGAGCGCCCGCATGCGCCCGTTCCCGTGGTGTTTGGCGGCCGTGATGCCTTCCGAGGTCCCACCGGATCCCTTCTGCCAAGAGATCGGCATTATGGAGATCAGAGCCTGGTGCCACAGAGCCGAAGCGGAGCGGAGCGCGGAGCGTCTGGTTGGAGTGAAGTCGCGGAGGTTCGGCACGCGAAGAAGTTCGGAAGCAGCACCTGAGTCTGGATGAAGGCACTGAGCTTGGAGGCTTCTTATGTGCTATATAGTATGGGATGGATCACACGGAAACCCTGAAAGATGTTTTGTGTGTGTCTTGGATTTGGTTGGTTCAATGTTCAATACACATCGTTTCAAGCATGTTTCAAGCTCTACCACTTCCTCCAATATAGCAATATATCTTTCCCATGTTCGGAGTGAGCTCTTCAGGCAGTCACTCACTCCGTCACATCTCGAGGTCTACAAATACAGCTATTCTTTACCGACCACTGTGGAGCCGGACACCAACCCTTGGTCCGCCTTCGCAGAGAACATGGTCGATCCCAGCCGGGACCGAGCGGCAGAGTGTGGAAGCCGGAGGGATGGGGATCTGGGAAGGACTGGGAAGGACGAGCCCAGGATGCATCTTGAAAGACTGGGACGAGCCCAGGTGAAACATCCAATGCTGGCGGGTCGATGGCCTGGCTGAAGGGTCGATGGGACAGGATGAAGATTGGGCAGCGGAGGTTTATTGTCCCTAAAATTTAAGTGAACAGAGAAGGGAGCAATAAATAACAACTGGTAAGAACCACAATATCGCGGACAGTCAAAGCGGCGAGCACGGCAGATGCAGTGCCGCGCCGAACGTCCTCTCGGTCTCTGGGATCCAACCACCGGGACAGACCTCATCGGCCGAACCACTTAGCGGCGATCCGAAGGAGGGGGACGAGCCAAGTCGGCAGTCTTGCGAATGCCTCGTCCTCCAGAAAATGTCGAAGTCAGCTCGCGCAGCTGGCTCCGAACCTCGGGCCTAGGCCTCAAAATCAAACAGTCACATGGCAGGAAAATGTGGCTTTCCAATCTTGGACCTCTGGTCAAATAGCAACTAAGATCAAAAAAGTCACAAACCTCCCTAACAGCCCCCCTAACGGCATGAACCATGCGGGCCAGCGTAGGTCGATTGAAAAGCCTGCGGGGCGCAATCAAAAGATCTTGCCCTTCCCGCACGTGTGGGATGGTAAAATCCTCCCGTTCGAACAAATAAAGCGTGAGTTCTATGAAACTGACCGGCAGAAAATCGGCGGACTCGTCCTGCAAAGGCCGAATCGCTTCAAGCAGCCAGTGGGCGTATTCAGCCACCCTGTCTGACTTAAACAGTTGAAAAGTGCTCATCCAAGCCTCAGGGAGTCGGGCGTCCAACGAACAATGCTGCACTCCCTCTTCCCAGGGGGTGTCGTCAACAACTTGGTCAGCTTCGTCAGTCTGAGCAGTCCGAAGGTGATCCCCAACCTCAAGGTGGAAGCGTCGGAGATCCCGCAAAAAGGGGACCCAAGTGTCGACCCGTTCCTGCCCTCGTGCGACAAGTCTCCAGAAAGTGTCGGATCTATCCAAATTGGATCGTATCGCCTGGCGATCGGCTTGGTCGTTCCAAAGGACAGCCCACTCTTCGGAGGCGGTCTCACAGCGTTCCAAAGCCAAATGCGAAGGCAACCAACGAATCTCGAGCTGCCCTTGGTCCAGAAGCGCAGTGTCCGCCAAAAGCTCGTTGATCAAATCGTGGTTGTCAACAGAAGGTGGCACTTGGGAAACATGCAGTTCCAGTCCTGCCCTCAGCCAGTTGTGTGCATATTTGGAGTCAGTCCAAATCCGCGCTCGAGCGCGAAAGTTCAGCACCCAACGAACACAAACCAAAATGGCCGTGAGCTCGGCCCGGTTCACCGTCTGCAGGAGTCCAGTGAGGTGTCCTGTGGCCACCGGCTGACCGGTGGTGGCATTTTGAATGGCCCAAGCGGCGGCCCTAATGTATCCAGGAACAAAGTCAATGGAACTGCCGTCCGTAAACAATTCCTGTAACCCCTCTTCTGGCTTAGAAAGAAAGTCTCCGGGAGCAGGTAGCTGCAAAAAGTATTCCTTCAGCTCAAACGCAAAATCGGCTCTGGGAACCAGTAAATGATGAACCGTGCATTGAGGCCAACATCCCGCTGCCTCAGTCAGCTCCGGATTGTGTAGGCGCAAGTCCTGAAATCGTGGGCACGAAAGCCAGTGACCTGGGTGGTCGGCAACCCGGCAAAAAGCGCAAAATGCCTGCTTGGTGCAGTCGAATTTGGCCTGGTGCCATGCAGAAATGAATGCGCCCTCCTTTAATGCCAGCGTCTGGGCTAGCTGTTTAGCCGTAAGCTGGTCATGATCCAGTCGGGAAAGGTAGGTGTCCATTCCTGCCAGGTCCGACATGGTATGCCGTTTGTTGACGATGTGTGCCACATGCTGCAACCAACCATCGAGCAACAACTCATGAACAGCCTGACGTGGTAAGGCCAAAAGGTCATGCTCGAACCCATCATGATCAAGCACCAACGGAGGAGCCGTGACAGACCAACCAACCTCAGATAAGCAGGTCACAAGGCGTGTGAAAGGACCGGGAAGAGTGCGGCCGCTGTAAGCTCTCATGAAGGACTGCCAACGATCCAAAAGCTCAGGAGACTTGAAGCATAACCTACGAAGACAGTCAACGACACGGACCAGCAAAAAGAAAGCAGGCTCCGCTGTAGGGGGCTCTGACAAAGACAAACGAAGGAGGGGGTTGGCCCCCCCGACTCGAAGACCAAGGGCCGAAGTGGCCTGGCGCCGAAGTGCTTGCAAGTGCTGTAAGCCAAGCGGACAAGCTTCACTACCGTGCAAAGCTTTGTTCCAGCAAACGATAGGAAGTGCTTTGAGCTTGAACGCGAGTGAGGCAGTAGACCGCCGAAGCCGAGTCCAACAATCCTCAAGTTTGGTGCCTTTAGCCCGAAGAAGCCTGTTACGCCAAGCGGCCCCAAAGGAAAGAGCTCCGCCCAATTCCAAGGCATCTTCGTAAAGAGGAAGTCCAAGTGGCCGAAGCTGACTGCGCATGTCGCTGGTGGTGCCCCAAAGGTAAGTCTTAGAGAAATCCAAGAGCAGACCCCAGAGAGCCATAAAAGCCTGCAAAGAGAAGTAGGCCATTGCAACATGTTGAGCTTGGTGGCCAGCTATGGAAATATTGTCGACGAAGCTGTAGGTCCGTGCGGAGGGGGCAAACCGAGACTGATAGACATGCATTGACCAATCCAGCAATGCCATGGCGGCCGTGGAGAGCGGGTCGCCTTCAGGGAAGCCCACATTACTCAGGTAAGCTTCTCCAAGCTCGTTGTGGACAATGAATCGCCGACGAAGTCCAACCAGGAAATCAGCCCACGGTTGCAAAAGGCGTGGGGGAGCTCCAACATGAGCAGCAAGAAAGAAGAGTGGAGGCCTTTGTATGTGGTTAAAGGCTTTGACGACATCTGTAGAGAGACCCCCAAGGGGCATAGCAGCTTGAAGGCAGCATTCGATGTGAGCTTGAAGAAGGAGCCAGATCTGCGCTGTCTCTTTCTCCGGGAGGAAGCCGTAGGCATCCGTGTGGATGTATGCAATGAGTTGGCGAAGAAACTGACGCGCCCTCAAAGATGACCAGCATCTATAGACAATCGAGAGCAAAGCGATAGGCCTGAAGTGGTCAGGTGTGTGTGAGCAGTCTTTCTTGGCCAAAGCAATGACAAAGGCTTCCAACATTTGTGTGGGCCAACCCGCTTGGCCGGTTTCTATGGCCTCGAGGAGTGAAAGGAGAGCGAGAATCTGACTGTCAGTCATGAACTGAAGGTCTTGCTTGCCAAAGCCGTCGGCTCCTCGAGCAGCCCGAGGTTTGAAGCGCTTGACTGAGGCCCGCCATTGGTTGATGGTGATTGGCCCGAAGGAGAAACGACCCATCGGCATGAAGGCCTGGGTGAATGCCGTGATCCGTGTCCACGCTTCTTGTGAGGGCGGTTCACTCAGGTACCATCTGTCCTGCCAAAAGCGGCCCAGGGCTTCGTGAATCTCCCCTGTGGTAGAGGCAAAGATACGTTGAGTCAAAGAGGAACAATCTGAGACCACGCTGGGCATGTCCACCAGTACAACCGTGTCCGCAATTGGAGTAATGGCGGCAGGAAGTCCATCCAGCAACCAAATGGAATTTTTGGCCAGAGTGGCCGGCTCGTCCAGGTGGATGACTCCCTCGTCATCAGCTTCCAAAAGGGGAGTAAATTCTTCATCCCTCCAAAGACAATCAACTTGTTCTCTGCCAGGAGGCCGGAGATCCTGAAAAAGCCCTTCCATTGTGGCCTGACGTTTGGCCTTGAGGATGTCGAGGCGCTGATTGAAGTGCCAAGTCTCGAACTCACGAAAAGCTTGCAAAAAGGTAGCGAAGAGAACCTCTGCCAAATTGCGCGAAGGTGGAAAAAGAGGGAACTCTCCAATGGTCAAAACGAATTCTTGGCAATTCCACCAGGAAGGAAACCCATCCTTGAAGCCCTTAGCATGGCGAATGCAGTGCCAAAGTTCTGCTCGGTAGATGGTGGCTTCAATGGTGGCAGTGCCTTTGCGAATGGAGTGCAAGTATGATTGTAGCCGACGCAGTTGTTTGTACCATAGTAAGACTGCCCGTCCAGGTAGCCGATAAGTCAAAGCCAGTTCTCCAGGCCTATGTGCTTTGCATGAAGGCGGAGTGGAGAGCTGAGTAGTAGGACTGGTGCGTTGCGCCCGTCCTTTGCATCGAGAAGGCAGCGGTTGACCTGGTTGAGAAGACCAATGGCCGTCCAGAGAATCTTCAAATTGACGAGCAAAGTGCTGGTAGTAGACGGTGGCATCCTGGTGGCACCAAACCTCAGGCGGAACCAGATGTGTATGCCAATCGTCCACGGCAATGCCGGTCCATGGAACTTCGGACGGTCGTGGCCATGTCAGGTAGGTATGTGGTACCTCAGAAAGGTCAAACGAAGCGATGACTGTGCTATGGTCCAAAAAGATGTCCTCAACGGAGACTTCGGAGCAGAGTGCAGCAAGCCGTGGAGAGAGCCAGAGCTGGTCTCTATGTGTGCTGCCTTTGCATGTAGGTTGGATGGGCGTATGCCATCGATGGTGTGCAAGCAGCTGAGCTTCTTGCCAGCCATAGGAGGTCCAAAGCTGCATCTCTGCCAATTCACCGGGACTGAAATTGAAGTCCCCAGCTATCACTGCAAGCCCGTTGTAGCCCACGACGAGATGCTCAGAGATGAAGGCCAGGAGCTGAGAAGTGAGCTCTTGCGCAGCCGGCCATGTAGGCCCACGTGGGAAGCCGTAGATGCTAGCCAGGATGATGGATTGAGCCCCCACATGATGAAGTGAGAACTGAATGCGACCTGAATGCCAGAGTTCGGCAGGAAGTCGAAGTTGTAGGGACTCACAAGGAAAATCACTGATGGTGGCAACCCCTGTCCAGGTGCCTGCCCAATTGGAACCTCTGCGGAGGTCGGCGGGATGCCCAAAAAGCGGTCGAACTTGTCGGTGTTCAGCCTGTGCAAGTTGTCTGAGCCGACGGCCAGTAGAAAGCTGTGTGGCGGTGCTGAGGTGTGTCTCGCTGACCTGATGTATGCCAGCCCCCAATGAAAGGAGCAATTCCTCTTTGGTTCGTAACCCCGAAGGATTGGAAGTGCTGATCCTCAAGGGCCCAGGATTCGCTGCCTCCCCAAGCAGACGAAGATGGCCGAGATCAAGCCAAGTGACAAGGAAGCAACCGCCAGTCCTCCCCCAGGCACAAGCCCCAGCCTGAAGAGGAGGTGATGAGGAGGTAGCCACAGAAGTGGATGCCCGAAGATGAAGTAAGCTCTCAACCTGGACTAAAGCCCCGCCAGGTAGATCACCTAGACCGCAATGAGCCAGAGTATTGTCACGATCAAGCCCTGTCATTCCATCAAGTCTGAGCCTCGGGTATCGAGAGCTTTGATGCCTGCAGGCTTGAAGTGAGCCAACATGATCTGAACCATGTTCTGTGAAGGATAAAGCATGACCAGCCGAGGTCGCCGCAAAGTAGCAGGGCCAGAGCATGGAGAAGAAAAGAAGGCGAAGCCCCCGAGAAAAGGACCAGCCCTTGCAAGATGTGAGCGCGCTGCCCGAGGTAAAGCCAAAAGCACACCGGCCTGAAGGGGCGAACGGCGGATTGGATGGCCGGGGTCCAATCCCCTTGCGCCCTAGTCAGGCTTCATGTTTAGCCTTCTTGGCCATCATAGCCTCAAGAGTGTCGAAACGGCCATTCATCTCCTTGGCGAAATCGCTCTTGACTTCGTGCACTGCTGTTTGAACAAGCTGGTGGAATTTGGCTTGTCCGGTTTGCACTTCGTTGCCAAGCCGCTGGATCTCCTGCTGTTGCTGCAGGGCCTGCTGTTGCAACTCGCTGATGGATGCCTGAGTGCTGCTGCAAGTGTGGTGCACGTCCTGAAACCATTGTGAAAATTGTTTGTTCTGTGCTTGTATCTCGCAAAGCCCGCTCTCAAGCTGGAGAATGCGTTTGTCTTGTTCCGGGTTGGCTGGACTGACCTGCTGAAGTTTGGAATCCAGCTCTTGCTGAACTTCCTGCCTGATTTCCTTGGCCAAATCGTCGTACCTCCTGACAGGGGCGGCTGGAGCGGCCAAGGAGCTGGAGGCTTGGGAGGACCGGAAATTGGCCCATGGGTCCTTGCTGTGGCCGTTGTGCCATGGGTCTGTTGAGGCAGCCTGTGAGGTGGCCGCCATGTTGCGGATGTGCTGCTCGGTTTTGCGAGTGGCCATGACAGTGGGCTTTGGGACTGTGGATGCCTTCTTGGAAACTGCCGTGATGATGATGTCCAGCTGGAAGCCCGGCATGATCGCCTGAGGTGGCGGGTCAGAAGCCCCGACAGTCCATGCCATGTGGCCAGCATTACCTTTGCCGGGTTGCAATGGCTTGGCTTGCCAATTCCATTCTTTCAGCAAAGCACTAATGGCAGCCTTCTGGGTCCCGTGCGGCAAAGGCATGAGACTGTAGACTTGCTTGACTTCAACATCCAAAAATGGAACACCGGGTCGAAGAGCCTTGAAGGCAGTAGCTTCATCCTTGGCAAGTACCCGGACTCCAAAACGCTGTTTGATGCGCATGAGGCAAATAGTCTTGGAACAGGTCTTGGCCTGATGTGAGGCAGCCAAAAAGTCCAATCCAGGCAGCCATATGACTCTGTAGCGTGGATCCGGGCCTTGGGTGGTCTGGCAGCGCGGCTCAAAGAAGAGGCCTGCCGGCTGCTGTTGTAGAATCTGTTGAACCATAGATGCTGGTACCCTGATCAGCACTGAAAAGCAGTCTGCCTCCGTGGCCTCGGTCCGTTTGCCCTCCATTGAAGTAAAAAGCCGGCTCCAAAGGTCAAGGATGACCCCATAGTACTGCTCGTCAACTGCAGGATGGGCCTTCAAACAATCTGCAACCTTGCCAGTGCATTTGCTGTCCTTGCAGAGCTGTAGTGCAGGAGTAGCTTCCATGATTTCACGGATGGGAGCCTTTGAGAGGGCGTCCCACGAGGGGCCAAGAATGTCCCGATAGGCCTGGATTTTGAGGACTGCCGATGCAACAATGGCAGGCTGCGGCATAGAGGTGGATGCCTTTCGCTTGACAGGGATATCGCCCAGCTGAAGGAGACCCCCAAAGAAGACCACAGGTTCCTCAGTGGCTTTGTATTTGGCCGGGATCATGCACTTCTGGATGTGGGCTGCCGAGATGATGTCTTCCTCAGGTAAATCAAAGAGAGCCAAGGCAAGTGCGTCAGAGCTAAGGCTACCCGAGGCAAAGAAAGGTGCTGCCCCTTCGGCATTGCAAAGGGCAATTCCACTGTGGTCTGCAGCGACGTCTTGGAAGTCAATGGCTCCAATGGTATTCCCATCTTCGTCGACAAAGGTGTTGGGAAAAAGTTCAATCGCTGAAGGGTCGACCTTGATGGGCCTGGCCGCAAGTTTCTTCTCCTTGTTGCCTCTTTGTTTCTTGGCAGAGGAGAAGGCGCCAAAGTGGGTCTTCTCGCGATCCTGCACGTGCTGTGATAACTCAAGCGGTGTCACCAAGCGAATACGAAAGGCAGGTTTGCTGGCTTCGGCTTTGAGTGCTGCCCATGGAGTCTTGGACCTCAAGGTGGATTGTACCAAGGAGGCCCCAAGCTTGTCAATGACCATGGTGGCTCAGTCCCTAGATTGATCAGCAGGTACCCCGTGATCATGCAGCAACGCGGCTAGTTCACTGAGTGTTTCAGCCCGCCCGGTGGGGCCACGGCCAACGAAGTCCCCCTTCCGATCGTGCCGGAGCAGATGAGCATGGACCCGAAGAATGTGGTCTTCGGTGAAGTCCCCCGGAAAGCCCAATGCAAGGCAGGCATGAATGATGGCGATGGTGCCGCAGGTGTACTCCTCGTTCTGAGTAAAAAGAGAACGGGTGTCAAAATCCACTGCTGAAAGTCCAAGCCATGAAGAGATCTTCCGAGAGAGCAAACGAGCCGAAGAAAGGAGCCGGTCTCGAAGTCCATCGTAGTAAGTCCAGGAGATGCCCTCCGACTGAATAATTCCATGCAGCAAAGCCCAATGCTCATCTGCTGGGAAGATGCAAAGGATCTGAGCCGGCCCTTGTGTAGCCGCTGCTGCGGGTGCAGGAAGCGAAGGTGCTTGAAGAAATGCATTGGCCTGCGTAGGTGAGAAGGCAAGAACGGGCCCAGCCGAGGTAAGTCCTCTCTGCCGAATCAGGCTTTGAAGTGTGCTCCAAATCACAGGGTCTCCAAGGCCAAGACGAGTACCGTCAGTGTGGTGCGTAGGAGGACCCCTGCCAACCAGAGAATGCCAACCACTGACGAGCCAAGGCAAAGTGGTAAGGCGCAATGAGCGCCAGAGTCCGAAGTCCGCACCGTAGACCCTCCCCAAATCATCCCGCAGGAAGAGGGTATGCTGAAGCTGATGTTTCCGAAGAATGGAAAAGAGAAAGCTGCCTGGCTCAACGCACTCGATGATCAGTGAACCCTCATGCACAATGCCGACAACCAGCACACCCGTTGGGCATTCCCGGACTTGATGTTTGCCATGGCTTTCTAGCAGGTAGGAGCCGTTCTGCTGAAGGACTGCCTCAGTAGCGATGGGGAGAGTGTCCCCGATGGTGACCTGACTGTGTTGCCCCCATTCCAGTTGGATCCTTTCTGCCGAAAGAAGTGAACCAGCCGTAGAAGCCCTGCTGCAAAGGATCTCCAGGCAGGCACCATTGGACCAAAGCTGAAAATGCAGAGGAGGCGAGTCCATGGCAGGGAAGCCGTCATGTATCTGCCGCAGGATTTCCTTCTTGTAGTTGTCCAAGACTTCGGTGGCCCTGAGAACTTCTTCTGAGCCGGTAGCAAGCTGAAAGTTCTCAACAAGGGAGGCGTAAATCCAAACCATCTGGATGGGAGAGGCAATCAGGCCTAGAAGGCAGTTGCTTTCTCTTGGCTCCAAGATCAGCTGAACAGAATCTGGTACTCCAAGAAGCGCAGCGAGTTCCCTAGGATGAAGGAACCTAGGATTGCCGTGAACCTGCGAAGGGACCCAACAGCCTCGGAGGCCGTGTTCCAGAAGGGTGTCGAATCGGAATCCTGCTGACCTGCAGTGGCAAGGACAGGGCCTCGTGGCGTTGGAATAAGAGTGCAAAAAAGTAGGGGCAATGCTATCCAAAGTAAGGCACCTGTCTTCTTTGCCAAGCCGTGGATCCATATAAAGAGCTAGCTCGTCGGTGTCCAGTTGAAGCTCTGATTCGTCCGGTTCGCTCCAAGTGCCCCACTGAGGAAGTACCTGCCCAATCCTGAGTGGAGCGGCAATGTTGGGCCAAGGCTGTAGTCCATGATGATTCCATTTGGACGGGATCAGAAGAACCCACCACCTTAGTCTTCGGCAAGGCCATTGGGTGCCTAAGTCGAATGTGAGATCCAAGACTTCGAAACCCATCGCCTGAGCGAAAATGGAAATGGCATGACGCGTGTCCAAGTTGGATCTGGCTTTGGCGACACATTCCAAGATCACTGCCTGAGGCTGCGTGAACCAAAAGACTTTGAGGCCTGAAAGCAACACGAAGGCTCTTTTGTCTTGCCAGCCTAACATTAGACCCTGCGAACTGTATGGTTGACAGGGAAACCCAAGGGTGCCTGTGAAACCATGATCCGGGCAAGCAGCATGAACCGAACGAGGAGCCAATGGATCGTTCAAGTCCAGATCCAAGACCTGTCCGTGAGAGTTGGCCCTCAAGTGGCGAATGGAAAGAGGAGAGAAATCCACCGACACAGCCGGCACAGCACCTAGAAAGGCAGCCCCTATCGACATGCCCCCAAACCCGGCACAAAGCTCAAGCAGGAAAGGAGCCAGCGGTTCTTTTGGATCAGTGGCACGCTTCCACCAAAAGTCAGAGGCAGGCACCAAAACCAGGCAAGGTGTGGTCTCAAAGACCTCCAAACCGTAAAAGGTCACACGACCGGGTGGCACATGCGGACCTAACAAGGTGCACTCAATCCCGAAAGGTAGGATGCGAAGGCCACAGCCATCGGTGGCCGAAACCAAGACATCAGCCACCACGTCAACCCGATCACCCACCTCACGCGGGGGGGAACCGAAAATGAGAGCGTCCATGGCTAATCGGCCCTGTCCCAAGCTGTCGGCCGTCGCGGGTTACCTCTGGAAGGCACTCGGGCAAAAACACCTGGTAAGAACCACAATAAAATTAATACTATGCATTGATACATGTTGATACCCGTTGCATGACTTTTCTGTTTTTTTCTGTTCTATGGCTGACACGGTTGCGGGTTTCGGATTCTACCATCAGGTTCGTTCTATGTCTCTCCGCCGCAGGATACGTATTGGATGGGCCGGGTCTCCCAGCCTATCCGGTGGGAGCGAAGCAAAGCGACCAAGTCGGTCCAAGACCCGAGATGCAAGCTGGTGACCATGTGAGCACCCACTTTTATTTATTAGTGGTCAGTAGCCATGTGAGTAGCTGGTTTTACTCCAAGTAGTCAGTAGTCATGCTCTATTTGCTTGTCTATCATCAGCATTTGCTTGTGAACGAGATAGGGCCTCCACATAATGCTTTACCAAATAAATGCCGCCGCACATGTGGCGAACCTTTTGCCAACAAACAATGAGTCCAACTAACAGCCTACAACCATAACAAGCAGAAGCATCAGAACAGGGATAGTCCCTAGAAAACCAAGTCAATTCAGCAGACTCATGGAACCTGCGGACTGAACTTCGTGGAACTTCGTGGGGACTTCATCAGAGCAGATCCTGAGCATAGAAACCTGGCGTTTTGAGGGTTTGATGTGCCAGGATGAACAAGGCCTGTCTCAAGACGGCGGTTGTTTGCTGTGTTTGGCAATTTCCATATGAGATGGGGGAAGCCCTTTGTTGTTGAGAGGTTTTGAGACAGAGTCACAGTGCAATTGAGCTTTGCATAGGAATAGTTCGGTGGTTGCTTACCACGGTTTGGGCCCACTCGTCCTCCAGGACCTCCCCTCACGGACGGGGACAACATCTACATCTCGTGCTTCCCTGCATGGATTTGGATGTCCTGAAGACCCAAGCTGAAGAAGATCTGGGTTTGGTTACTGGTTGGTTTTGCGTTTAAGAAAGAAGTCTTGGGAGTTGAAGTGCAGTGGCTCCTCTTGGCAAGAATGAGGATGAGGCGTCACCTGCATGCACTAATTCCCCGAGACCGACGGCATCACCGATCTCGCACAGTTGAGCATGTTTTGAGTACACAGCAACGCCAACACGTTGAAGAAAACGCAGAGTAGAACAGTTGCTACTCAGCCAAGTGGGGTGACTAGTTGGACTCACCACCGGTCCGTCTCGCACCTTGGGCCCATTGACAGCTGTACCGAAGAACACAGCTCCGTGCCAGGGTGGACTTGGGGAAGATCTACAACGCCACAGATATCGAGATCTACTTCGGCTGGCGTGCTCAGGTGCAAGAACCCCCGCGGTTTCTGTGGCGAACGCTACAAACTTGTGGGGGAGAGCAGGAGACATTGAGGGGCTGGGTGTGAGACTGGATTTTCGATCTATTTCCATCGGGATGTCTTGGAACTCGTACGTACTTTCTTCCGAACTATATGAACATCTGAACACACTCCTTCAGTGATCGTGCAGTTCCACAGAACACCCACGCATCCTTTGGATAGGGGAAACATATGGAACCAAAGGCAGTGCTCAATTCTGAGATCCTTCTCGTTCAGAACTCAGAACGGTTTCGATGGGTTCCGAAGGTTTCATGACCCGATGTCGGGGCGTGGAACCCGTTATGAGGCCCGTTTTGTCAGGGCTTCAAAGGCCTGAACAATATACGGAAACAAAGAGAAGTAAGGAGAGATTCTATAATGATCCTATAATGCCATATAATGCCAAACATTTGTCTTAGAGAGATTTTCCACAATAGAGAGAAGTACAGCAAGACTTGACATCACAGCTCCTCATCACACAGACAACTCTACAAGTATTGCCTACAACTATATAGTTATTTATTTGATATTATTTGTTACGATATGTTTGTATACATCATTGAAAGCACTGATGATGCTGCAGGGATCTGCCTAAAATAGACGGGGAGAAAGTATCCTCTATTGAGGATGGATCGGATTGGATGCTTGGAAAGTTGCTTGGGGAGGTGACTCTGGTGGATCGGATTTGGATCCTTTTGAGGATGCATTTGGAGGAAGAGCCAGGTCACCAGTTCTTTCAACCTCTCCCACAACATGTGGGCCTGTCTCAGCCCCAAAGATCAGCTTCCATTTGTCTCGTCTCAAGAATACTCCATTTTTAGTGGTCAATAGGTGGGTTTGTCCATGGATCCCCAACTCAACTTCTCAAGTGGGGCAACTGTTTTGGGCATCTACTCTCCACCGTGTGTTTTTTTCCAATCTGCTTCACTCCTTAGCACTGCCAGCAACCCACATCAAATCTGCGGAAAGCTTCTTATCAGGCCCATTTCTCGGACCCAAGTCGCCAAGTCGGCGGACGTGGATTCTGCTAGCTCTCTCTGCTGATGCCGCCCCGCAGGTGGTGCGCCTGGATATGTCGGAAGATGGTGCCCGAAACTTAGCAGAACGGAACCAGCTGAGTAGTTGCTTGACATCTCAAGATGGGAAGATGGGCCCTATGGGGCTTGAGATGTTGCAGACACGATAGGAGCCAAGGCCGGCATTTCCGGCCATCGTTGTTGGGAAGAAGGTAGGATTTGCTGATTTGCATGATCATTTTTGCCCTGTTCAAGCATCAGAACCACTCGAGTGATGCTTTTGAAGCACGATCAAAGCATGTGAGAAGGTTTCATGACGTGTTTGCAGAACAGTAAACAATTGTCCAAAAGTGGATGAGCAGGTCCAATTCCTCAGAATAACAAGTGCAGTAGAAATCCGCAAGGTATTTCCACGTTTTACTGAGTGTTCCACCTCCCAAACATCAGTTTGATGTCAAAAAAACATCGTGCCATATTTGTGAATAAAAAGGGAGTATATGTGGTGGATCATTTTTTAACACCCAGACTGACGAGGATGGAGCATGGTTGAGCTATTTTTCGAGAGCCATGGCAATGCAGATTTCACTTTGGCGGCGAAGTGATGAATGTGGACGTAAGGCCTGAGATGACTGGTCGGGATCTGCAGTATGTCAAGGAGCTTCAAGAACTTGAGAGCCAACGGGCTCTTGTCCACCTGGGAACTTGAGCTTCAAGAGGGCTTCTCAAGGCCTGGTGGTCAGCAAGAGTTGAGTTGCACCACCCAGGTGGAGATTCTGGAGAGCCGCCTTTTAGAATGATGAGACCCTTGCAGGTGCAGGTTTTTCTCCAGATTCGGAGTTGAGCGTCATCTTCAAAGCAAACACCGTGAAAACCTCGTGAGATGCTCCCGGAAAGACTTATTCGCTGGCTTCGGCCGAGAAATTGACGTGCATGCGCTGATTGCCGTTGAAATCCCTGACAATGGTGCCTTCAAAGACTGCCGTTTTTTGGCTAGATTAACTATCCCCAATTCAGTGACCCGCATTGGGAATTGTGCCTTTCTACATTGAAGCTCCTTGGCAAGTGTGGCCATCCCTGAATCAGTGACCCGCATTGGGAATGGTGCATTTATGGGTTGCACCTCTTTGGTGAGTGTGGCCATCCCTGACTCAGTGACCCACATGGGAGAGAACGCATTTGCAGATTGCACCAGCTTGGCAAGTGTGACCATTTCCAAGTCATTGGCTGACGTTGCAGATAGTGTGTTTGCTCGCTGTAGCACTTTAGCAAACGTGACCATCCCTGACTCAGTAACAAATATTGACGATGGTGCCTTCGAACGTTGCAGCTCCCTGGCAAGTGTGACCATCATCTCCGACCAAGTCGTTTACATTGGGGAGGATGCCTCAATGCCTGCAGCTCTTTAACCAATGCCCAACTCGGTGACCCAAGTTGGGAAGCAAGCCTTTGCTGACTGCAGCTCTTTGTCAGATGTGACCATCTCCACCACATTGCTTTTGATTGGAGAGAGTACCTTCAGAAACTGCAGCTCTTTGATAAATCTGACCATTCCCGACTCTGTGACCCACATTGCGCCATATGCCTTTGATGGTTGCACTTCTTTGCAAAGTGTGACCATCCCCGACTCAGTGATGTGTTCGGAAACTGCCTTTTGTTCTTGCGGCTCTTTTGCGGTGACCATGTTACCCTCCAAGAACAGGGCCTTTAAGAACTGGAGAAGGTACCTCGCCAATGAATGCGAGTGTGAACAATGCGAGCGTCCATGGTTTATGGAAGACTGGGTGTGTCCGATTATTTGGCAAAGGTCAGCAGATGCCTTTACCGAGTGATTTGAACCTGTTCTTTTGCAATGCTGTTTTCAAGTTTCAATCCGACTCAAGACCCTCCTTTATATTGATTATCCTTGTTGGGGCAATCGAACGATAGCTCCCCAGTTGCAACCTCTTCAGGAATCTGGAGCAGCAAGGAATCCGCGAACACTGACTACCAGTGAAAAACTGACGGATTGCTTTGTCACCAGCTGACTGAAAACAGTTCATCCAGGATGTGACGTGGAGATTTTGGTTTGGAGTTGGGGAACACCAAAGAATGTCAGACACGTCAGAGGTTTGATGTCCATAGAAGCCACAAATGACATGTTTTGCAACTCAGAACCCCAATGCCAAGAATTGGTGATCCCACGTCTACAAGATTGTTAAGTTATATAGTTCTCTCAAGTCCGTGGATTGAACATATTTTCGGATATGTCACAGCGTGGCTTGGACGTGGTGATTGTGTTCTCAATGGATGGCGTGACTTGGGGCTAGAAACCACAAGTATGATTGAAACCAGTTGAAAGAACTTGGGTGGCTTTCTATGGAGCTTTGCAATTTGGACCACTGGAACCTGAATTTGCAAACGGTTGGAGCATTTTTTTTGCCAAACAACGGGCCATCAACGAGAGTCCATGCCGCTGGTGGACAGAGAACAAGCTTGGAGCTGGGAGGGCCCTTGGAGCTCGTGACGTTTCGGATCAACTCGCAGATGAAGTTACAAGCAGGGTCCCTAATCTATAATAGATCCTAAGAGAGAACAGGTAGATTTAGAACCATGGCTATGCAGCTTCCACTTCGCCAGCTCAATGGCGAAGTGATGATGCTCAAGGTCACGCCAGAGATGACTGGTCAGGAACTAAAAATGCAAATCAAAGAACAGCGCTTTCCCGAGGACAATCTCAGACGTGAAACAACTCGGGTGGAGGTTCTTGTCGGAGAGAGCAAACTGCTTGAGAAGGACGAAACGGTGACAGGTGCAGGTCTTTCTCCAGATTCGGAGTTGACAGTCATCTTCAAGGAAAACACAGTGAGATGCTCCAACAGAGACAAGATGGGCCAGTCCAGCGAGATCGACTGGGATTTGTTGATAGTGGTTGAGGTCCCAGATGATGTCGGTGAAATTGCACACGATGCCTTTAGGGGCTGGAACAGCTTAGCCAAAGTGACTATTCCCCAGTCGGTGACCCGCATCGGGAACTTGGCTTTTGCTAGATGTTGTGCATTGGCAACTGTCAGCATTCCTAATTCAGTGACCCACATTGGGGAACGAGCTTTTTTGGGCTGCCGTTCTTTAGCAAGCGTGGCACTACCAAACTCGTTGACCTATATTCCAGACAGTGCCTTTCTACAATGCAGCTCATTGGCAAGTGTGGCACTACCCAATTCAGTAACCCGCATTGGGGAGGGTGCCTTCGCACACTGCACCTCTTTGGCAAGTGTGACCATCCCTGACTCAGTGACCCATCTTGGGCAGGAGGCGTTTGCAAACTGCAGCGCTTTGGCCAGCGTGACCATTCCCAAGTCATTAACTGACATTGCAGCTGGTACATTTGGTGGCTGCAGCTCCTTGGCAGGTGTGACCATCCCCAATTCAATCATACGGATCGGGAGTTGTGCCTTCGCAAACTGTACCTCCCTGGCCAGTTTGGCCATTCCTGAGTCAGTAGCAAGCATCGGTCGCAATGCCTTCGCGAGATGCAGGTCGTTGACAACTGTGATCATCCCCAACTCAGTGACACACATTGGCGGGGAGGCCTTTGAAAACTGCACGTCTTTGGTCAGTTTGACACTTCCGGACTCAGTGACTCGCATTGAAGTTGGTACTTTCCAGTTCTGCAAGACTTTGGTAAGTGTGACCATCCCCGACTCCGTCACTGACATTGGCCAGCATGCCTTTTTCGAATGCAGCTCTTTGTCAAGTCTGACCGTTCCTGACTCAGTGAACTACATCGGGGATCTTGCCTTTCAAGATTGCAGCTCTTTAACGCTGAGCGTGTCCATCTCGCAGACTCGCTGTGGACTCGGAGCCTTTATAAACTGCAAGAAGATCATCCCCAAAGAATGCCAATGTGAACAGTGTGAGCACAGCTGGTTTCGCACCGGCTGGGTTTGTCCGAGAGCCAAAAATGACACGTAGGTTCTTCAGCGCTGAACAATAGCAGAACTGTGGTCCGGTGAGCCAAAGAAAGCTTTCTTGACAGAGCAAACAGGGGAGAAACAGCAAAAATCATCCAACTTACACTGTTTGTGAGCTCCAGTGAACATCAGCCGTATGTTTCTTAGCATGCATCACTCGGTTTGATTCGCGGCAGAGGTTAACTATGTGCGAAAGGAACTTTCGAGTGGCAATGTGCTCGGGCTTTTGACTCTGCAGGCGCGCTGTGTCCGGCGGGTTCACGGGAAACGGCTGTCCTTTGGGTTGGCATTCAGTCTTAGTTTGAACCATTTAAAGACACCAAGCAGAAAAGGAACATGGTTTTTCTAGGTGGGCACAACTAGAACTACTCGACTCTAAGAGTCGGTCCTTAAGATTGTGGGTGGTCTGGATCGGCAGATAAACCATGGTGGCCCGGTGGCCCGTTTGTTTGTTTGGATGATTGTACACCATGAAAAAATGGTTTGAGAGGCGAGGCTCATTGAAGTTGTTGTGGAACCCTGCCCTGCCACTGTAGCATTGTATGATGTCGCACATAGACATGTTGAACTGTGTCAACCTTTTCTGGGTTGCGTGACATGTCATCCCGATTTGCCCATCCGACAGGGAGGCAGATCCGACTCCCATGTCGCAGAACTACTGTAGTGGATAGTTTTGATTATGCCTTTTGAGTATAAGCCATGCGCATCCCAATTTGCCCATTATGCAGTACAGTAAGATGCACCCAATTCTTGAAACGCTGATTCGCATGTCTTCCAGCTCGGGGTGTAGTCTGAGTCGTGTCACCCTATAGGTCCCATCGGCCGCCAGGAGAAAGGCCTCACCTTTCAAGTGAGGCGCAGCGTGGAGAGGAAGAGTGGAGAAGACGCATCAATGAAACCCCAGACGCATCCGAAGGGTGCCGAGGTGCCCAGGAGGACAAAATTCGGATGCAGATGGTGTAAGGTACATATATAACTTAGTTGACTGAGCGGTTTTTGCCGTGGATTTGGCCGTCCCAGCCGTAGCTTCTTTGGGGATGCAGTTGATTTCGGAATCCCAGCCGTTGGACCTTAATCGATAGCCGTTGACCTCCCAGTCGACACCGCAGTGTTTTTTGTTCATGAAAAATTCATGCGTTCAAAGCAGGGCTTTATTGCTGGCTCACCCCATGGCCCTGGCAGCCAGTCCCATGTCTCTTTCACATGTTTGACCTATATATGATTCCACCAATGCCTTGGCGTCGTTCTTTTTCAATAAATCGCCATTGCGCGGCGCTGGTTTCCAGGTATGTGACGTTGTGGATCCAGCGCGGTTTCCAGGCCTGACCGAGCCGCCGACCTCCGCCCGTTCCGTGGACGTCTCGCTTCGCCGTTTCGGGGGTCGATGAACGTTGGGGAAACCCACTTGGGATGTTGACCGACCCATGTGTGGAAGGCAGGCACTGGAGGCCTATAGGAGAGATGAAGGGAACATGAGTCGTCACTGGATTGCAGGCCCTAAGCATCCAGCACTCGCCTTTTTTTTTGGATCATTGTTCTTGTGTGACCCCTTCCTTACAGTTGATTGACAACATCCAAATAGAAGTTGTGCATTCCTCAGACTGAGTCATAGTGCAATCATTTGGACAGACGCTGATTCATCCACCCCTCCACATCTTCGATCAATTCGATCGAAGACGCGATCCAGACTCCAGATCGGTTCTCGGTTCTTTCTTCAGGATGCCGAGACAGGGCAATGGGGCACGACCATCCGGGACTTCGGGGTTCTCCAGTTCTCGCCCCTCGGTGGACATACGAAAAGGTCGGCCGAAACGAATGAAAACAGGTAAGACATAGGACAGTCGCATCGAAGAAGGCCTCTGGTCCGGGCCAGTCTGGTCCATTTGTTTGGGGGGGTGGGTTTGGACTTGAGTGAGCCTAGTGCAGATGTGCAGTCTTCAAGGCTTAGAACACCATGTCAATTTCGATTTTGATCGATTTTGAGATTCTGGAAGAGCGTGCCTAAAAATATCAAGGACAGATTTCTAAAGCGTGTTTCTGGGTGTCAGTGTGCTTCACAGTTTTCCATAAACCATTTCTGTATGCTGTACGACAGTACGCACATGTATGACCATGTATGCACCACATCCCCATCCACAATTGGTTGATCCTTCACCAGAGACCAGCACCCCACGCCGGGCGCGCAGAACGGGCGTCCGTGACCGAGCCGACCGAGCCAAGGAACATCGTCCGAGGGAAAGTGCCCCTGACCAACAGTCGCTCGGCGGAAAGGGACGCGGCGGAACTGGAGGAACTGGGACACTTTGTCTCTTGGCCGCGGCCGCAGCTGTTTGCCGCAGTGCGCCAGGCCGAAACCAAAAAGCAGAAAGAAAGAAACCTCAAGCAGTGGCGAGAACAAGGGATGAAGGAAGAAAACTTCAAGACGTCGTACTCGAGCTTCGAGGTGTTTGGGAGTATCCTCCATCTTGGACAGTTGACAACGACATGCGGGGAAACCCAGTGAGCACCCGCACCCTTCGGGGGAGCAGACGCTTCGGATGTGTCAGTGGTCAATGTCCTGACGTGCTGGATGAACCCAAACTCAAAATACTCAGTGATGTTGTCACAGCACTTTTTTTGCTTCTAGCAAATGCAAAGAGGGATGTGTTTGGGTGTGTTACAGTTTTCATGACGTGATTCCTGTATACATATACCTGAACTGCAGCTCTTTAATTTAGACCCTTCCAGACCTTCCAGGAGCCGCGGAAGCCCTTCCACCGGCCCCACGGCGTGAGGAGCACCGAGTGGACCTCACGCTTCGGGGCGCTGGAAGCGAAGCTCATCTACGACTTGGGCTATGAACGCAACGCCCGGCCCAGCACAGTCGTGACATGAAACAGAATGCAACTGTCAGAGGAACCGGTCGTTCATCCATGCGTTCTGTGAACTGTTCAAAGCGGGCCAGAGTTCGGGTCCAAGAACCAGACGACCTGGACCTACAACGACTGCTTGTGCCGGCATTTCTCAGGTGGCCGGCATGACCTGGGTCTTTGGGCATATTGCTGGCCGAGTGGACGTGCCCCGCTGGTGGCGGGGCCGGGCTTGGTCAGAAGGTGTTGACGGATCAGTGGCCAGGTACACTATGCCAACCGGAACGACAATCGTAGCAACTGGCAACGTGCAGGGCAGCCCGTTCGGACGTTCGGAACGCGACGGGTGCTGTGGTGTGGGAGTTTAATAGAATAGATGTAGGTCTCTGTCTCTGGCTCGTTGATAGCCTTGATACCTGGTTGAAAGATGTTGAAAGTTTCTGACCAGTCCATGGAAACAGAATTTGAGTTCGCATTAAAGAAATTGTGAGAAATCCATGACATCTGCTGCCCAGTATCGTTCAACTTTAACCTTTGACATCGACTAGTAAGGATGCTCGCCGGAGACCCATATTTACAGCAGCATATTTCAACTGTACTTTTTGAGATAGATGTTCTTTGCATCTTTGTCTGGCACAAAGGCGCAAGATCAAGTCTCATAATTAAGAGATATATATACATATATATATATCAAGATGACGTGTAATTGCCGTGTTTTTCTTTCCCAGGGAGGGTGACTCTGAAAATGTGTTCTCCTCTCCAAGGCTTATTCCCTCTTGGGGAATGTTGCCACAGATTCCGTCTGCCTGGCTGATTGAGCAGCTCTTAGCAGCCGGTTGATGGTTGGCTCCAAGCCCCGAGCCTTTTTTCCCTGTGGCGCCAGGTGGTTCCCAGCACCGTGCACTTTAAGTGTCGCTTCGTCTGGTGGCTCAGATCATTGAATTCTGCGGAGCAGCGGCTTTGGCTTCCAGAAATTCCCAAAAACAGAGGGCATGGTGGAGATGTTGTGTGCCACAGATCACTTCATGTGATGTGACGTATTCGTATTCCCAAGGCAGATTTCAGCCGACTGTTTTCCTGAGTTGTCCCCTGCAAGTGGTTGTAGATCTGATGAATTTGCTCAAGTCACCCGTTCAATATAACCCCAAAGTTCAAGCTCAAGTACCAACCTTCGGCCTGGAGAAGCTGCCATGTCTTTGTTGTTCTTGACAATTTGCGGAAACATGTGGAAACAACCTGTTGTTTTGGAACATTAAAGGGTCTTAAGAGATGAACTCTCTGCTAATCCTCAAAAACACTGCCGCACCATGTCCAGTTCGGTTTTAGCGGCTGGACCCGTGGGTCCCACCCAGATCCGCTTGACGCTGCTGGACCCGCGGACGCGCGAGTTTTGGGATCCAGCCGGGGAGCTTGGGCGGACAGCGGACACGGGAGCTCAAGAGGTTTGCTTTATGATCTAATAGATAATAATAGATATAGAAATCGTTTGGATCTACCTCTCGATTTATTTGGATGCCTCTTTTTATCCCCTGACATTTTCAGTGGGGGTCCTATGTACCCAAGCCACTGAATGAAGCACACCTCTTGGTTCGATGCGTGCGGGCTGTGGTTCTCTTGGGTAGCTGGCTCTCCTTCGATACCATCACCCAGACTCAGGTGATTGAAGTACTTGTTGAACCTACAGTAGAAAAGGTATGGCTGAACGTCTAAGGTATGGTGGTGTTTGATATATGTCCGTAAACCAAGTGGAACTTTAGGGATCCCGGTGGGTTTCCGAAGTGTGGAGCGTGGATCCTGGTGGGACTCAGATCGCCGTTTTGGTTTGGGGGCTGTGTAGAGGGGACAAGCAGACCCCGTGTTTTTTGGTTGGTTGACCATGAAAAGCCAAGGAAATTCAGGTGGAGGGACATGGTTGATGTCATCGGGATGATCTGGCTTTTGGAGGAAAAGTTGTTTGGTGGATAAAGCAAGTCGTTTCTTTATTGTGTGATATTGTATGTTGTTTGACCTTCCCAACGGAACAGCTTGATGTGGTGCTTCCCTGCATCTCTGAAAAGCGCTTTGCTCGGTTCAACCGAGCAGGTTGACAAAACTCCTCCAGTCCGGCCGAGGATGCCTACGAAGACCCTGAGAGATGGAGTGCCTGGGGGGGCTGGCGGGGGAGGAGGGCGCGCTTGCTTGTGGTGAGCTGTGTTTCCCGTTCCGGAAAGCTGAGGAAGTGAACAGTGAGGCGAGGCAGGGGCCCTGAAGGGGTGTCCAAAAGCCCCTTAAAGGCTTAATCCATGTCCATTAACCACCCCTTATGGGGCTTTGCAAGGGCCTTCAGAGTTGGTTGACCACATATTGCAGGGCGATGACAGTTTGTGTTTTAGGTGTTCGCTGCTGCGGCAGGGTGCATCACAACCACAGGAGGGTTGGTATAGTTCATGACCACATGTGGTTTACATTATATTGGTGGATTGATGTGGGCCTCACATTATCAGCATGAGGATGTCGCCTGGCAGGAATTCCCTGCTCTCCTTGAAGGACTTCAAGGCATATGAGCACACTGGTGGTGGTGGGGTGCGCCACCTCACTGAACCCCGTATTGTCCACTATATCAAGTGAGCTTTCCATCATGACATGTGTTCGGTGATTACATTGAGTCATTACCGTAAGCAAGTCAAAGAACAACAACTATGTCAGCCATTGTTTGCAAGAGAAACACACTCTGGCTCACTAACATGGAAGTGGAAAATATGCCTTTGGAAGACCATTTTGCTCTACGAACAGGGGGTTGTCCATGTCCGTGTTAGTAAGTCGGAGAGTATCACCATTTGTCCCTTCCGTTTGAGTCACTCCTTTCAGTGATGGCCAGGTACTCGGTTTCCAGTCTGCTGATGGCATGCAGTGCCAACACCCGGCAGTGTTTGACTGAAGCGCTCAACAGTGGCACTCCTAGAGTTGGTTTTGAAGCTAGAACAGGGGATGCCTTTGAGACACTCCATGAGACTGGCATATTCACGTACATTGGGGTGGTTTCAGGGGTTTATAAATATGCCATACATGAGCTGGAGCTCCTCTCGATGTTTGGCAAATTGAAGATTGCAGTCAGTCACAGAAAGATGTTATATACTAATACACGAGTTATGCTATTTTTGCAATTTTGGTGAGAACCCCTTCAGCATCCTTCAGCCCACCGTTCGTTCTTTCATACCACGACACTGGCCACTGGCCGGCCGTTTGACAACCGGTCGAACGAGACTTGGCAAACCGCACAGCTGGATCCTGCTTTCGTCAGCGTTTTTCGTCCTGCGAGTTTAGCCGAAGAAAAAAGATAAGTATAGACATATACGGCTAAAGTTGCAGGATGTCCGGGTAGCACAGAGCTGACATACCCACACTCCCTGGTACCCACCTTTGAGGGAATTCGCCATGTTCTGGTTCCGGATCGGATGCGGACGTCTCGTCGGTGGATCTTCGCCGGGTCTCGGGATGTGGGGAAAACGAGGTACACGACAGTGGCCTATGGTCTCCGCCAGCCGGGCCAGTGGATCCTGTCCAGCGAGGAGCCCCGCGAACCCGCGAACGGCGCGACGGCATCGGGAGAGAGGGAGAGATATTGGCGTTGAAGAATACACGGTTTCAGATTTGATAGTATGAACCCGATCGGTTGTGAAAGAGATCATGCATGGTTTGGTTATTTGATGCTGCCCAATGGGCTTTCAGCGGGGGTGGTTTTGCCCCATGCGTTGCCATGTGGAGTAGTTTTGAGGTTCCGGTTCCACTGTCATCCAGTCTGATTCCAGAAGAAGTGCAATCATCAACACACTGAACTTCACCAATTCGCATGCAACAAATTAACACAAATCAGAAGTGCATTGGCTCTGTTGCCCTATAGGTGAAACATGGTGACAGCAGCAAAATGTAACTCGGGACATGTTGTTCCGCGTTTTTTGTTCGTCGCACCATCTCCCAAAAAAGGTGTAGCTAGCCGCGGAGATGTCACATGTTAGTGCTTTTTCTGATACATCATTGGATTCTTGGTGATGTTTCAACTCCCAATGTAAAGAACATGAAAGAACCATTCAAGAACAGCAATTGGTCCATTCCAAATGGAATAGGCTTTGGATTCAGGCACGGACCCGGACCCGGTCACACCGGTCACACCGGTCACACGGATCCGCCAGGAAGATCTCATCACCCGGGACCGAGCTCGGGAGTCGGTTCACCGGTACGGTTCGTGGGGACATCGATCCACGCTATAGAACACTAGCTTTATAATGCTTTATAATGCTTTGCGTGTGTCTAATATGTATCTACACCCATGAATTGGGAATTTGGGAATTTGGGAATGGATCCCTACGTTGTTGTTCATTCGATAGATACTTGGCTGGATCCAGCCACTCTCACTGAATGTTTCGTCGCACCCGACCCCTCATTGGGTTCTTTGGATCGATGGTGAACGAGGTGATGTTCATACCCGATCGGAAGAGCAACAGTCCACGGGTGGCGAACATTGGGTGGCGACCCGTGTTGGCTCAGCCAACATGCAATGTCTTTGTTTGATTCCCCTGGGCGAGAAGTCCTTTTTTTTGGATTCGACAGGGATTAACAAGCCAATGGCATGAGGAGAAACTCTTTGATATGCCATCCTGATGGCAAAGTGCAATCCTTTTTGTGAATCGCTATGCATTTCTGGTGCTGCATGTCCTTTGCCAGCGTGCTTTCGTAGTTGCTTACTTCATGTTACTTCCAAGTGGGGGCCCCCTTCCCATTCCTGAAAAAATGCCCACACCGATCTGTGTTGCCAGGCCGAGTGAAAAGAGCTGTGATGTGGTGTTTCTGCCAAGCAAAGTCATGGGTGATTTCCGGTCAGAACAAGTGACATGAAAGACATTGAAAGACTATTTGACTATTACTATGTTGTTCTCCGGTCATGGAACACTCGCTGTATAATCATGGTGTTTTATGTGTTTTCTGTTTTTTCGTGTGTGATCATGACCAGTGCTTCCTTGGTATGTGCACCAATCTCCACGACCAGTCGGTCCTCTCTTCACTTGTTCGTCTCCGATCTCCACGGTTGCCACCGTGTCTTGCGGAGTAGTTTTCCGATCTGAGCTGTGCTCCTTGGTCTGAGCTCTTGGTGGTCACTGCGGTCATCACGAACTGGCTATCACAAATAGGGGAGAGGTCGTGGGAGAGGTAGTGGGAGCTTCCTCCACCTCCGGAAGTCATTTTTGCCGGTTCTGAGGAAAAGTCTACTGGTTGTAGCCATTAAACAAGGATGACTTCCCAGTTGGCAAGGGTTGGCACTTTGAATTACTTACTTTTTGATTAGCATAATGCAAAATATATAGGTCGACCCAGATGCCGCTGCCATCATGTTGAGACAAAGCCACTTGTCAGGACATTCATCCAAACTACACCTTCAATGACGTGGGGCAAGTGGCCTGTGTCCTCAGCACAAACAACAAACGCGCCGAGTCGAGGAGTCGTGCATAGACAGAGTCCAGTTCGCGCGTGTCCAGTCGCACCGTTGTTTGTGTCCATCTAGCCTAGAGAGACCGAACTACTGAATGCGTGCAGGGATGCGTTTCCTTTCAGGGATATCAGGGGCTACATGGGATAGCCGGGGCCGAATCCGAAGTCTTCTTTGCCGAGGTTCACATTGCCTTGACAAAGCAGAAGGCCAGTCTGGCTGAGATGCTGCTGACTCCTTTGCTCTTGATGGGTCAGGCAATGAGGTATCTTGAGAATAGCAAGAACAGAGACTCACCAGCTTCTCCTGTGCTGCCATTTCACTCTTTGGTGTTCCTTGTCCGTCAATACACCACTTGAATCAGTCACTGAAGTAAAAGGAGTCAGCTCCAGCAGGATTGTGGAGATGTGAGTAGACGAAGCGTAGGACACCTACACCAGAGTCAGGACACCCTGAGTCAGGAGGACACGACTCATCCAAGCCTAGGTGACACCGTTCGCGTACGATGTTGAATTTTCAGCATAGGTGAGAGTAATTTATCATTTCAGGGGCACTCACAACTTGTGATGTTCACTTCACATAGAAGATGAGGAGTATCTGAATCTAGTACATATAAGTCATCATTGACTTGAAGGAATTATTTTCATGGCCGTGCGAAAGCTTGTGGTTTTGAAACATTGTGCAACGGCAAGGTCGGTGGCACCAGCACTCAACGGTTGATCCAGTACTCCTTGTATCGGAATGGCCTCACGTGCCCCTAATCCAGCACTTACGGCCTGGACGTCCCGGGCGCTATAGATAGACATTTTAGTAGCGTCCTTAGCCCCTAGTAGCGTCCTTGCTCCTAGTAGTAAGGCCAGGAGCCCCTAGTAGCATCTTGTTCCTAGTAGTAAGGCCAGGAGCCCCTAGTAGCATCCTTGCTCCTAGTAGCGATGCCAGGAGCCCCCAGTAGCTTCTTAAGGACACTTTTGGTGATGATCCGCAACTGTTTGCTTTTTTGCAGGTGATTTATAATTGAGCATCATTACAATGAACATGTGATTTATTGGAACATGTCTACAATGGGTATAATTAAAAAATATGATAAGAGATATGATAAGTGCTTTGATTTAACCTTAGATGTTTACAACACACATGCATATATATATATATAGAATAATGCGCTTGATGTTCAGTGTGCTGTTCTCCAACAAAGTCGCAGAGAGCCCTTCTCTTCAGGTACGGTGAGCCCTACAGTGTGTGGGAGCCGATCAACAGGACGCGATCGCCGGTCGGGTCGCGTCGCTCGGTGGCCGAGGAATTCAAGGAAATTCCAACATTCCTACATAGCCCAGAGGGTAAAATGGAGGAGCATGGATGTTGGGTGCGATGATGTTGCTTTCCAATCTCCTGAGACTCCTATATCGGCCCAGAAGTAGGCCCAGACTCACTTCGGCGAGCCAAGTGGTGTCCTCCTGACTCATCTGCCCCCAACGCCATCGGCGCACAGCTCTTGCGCAGGATGAACGGCCCCAACACTGTGCGCGTGGTTCTGGGCGTGCGCAGTTCTGCGCACTATCCGGTGCCTGCAGAAGCGCCAGGAGCAGCATTTCTGACGACTGTACAGGGTTTGTTGGCTCGAGCTTCACATGGGATGATGAATTTCAATTAACATGCATTAGCTATAGTCCGAGTCCTGTTTCAAGTAGGTTTGCTGGCCACCAACTAGGGTAGATCCGCTTTGGTGCCCGGTTGATCCGATTATTAACTTAGGCTTCAGAAGGTTCCCATTTACGATGTACTAGCCATGAAAGCATCATGAAAGCCGTGGTTTTGGTGCTTGTTTGAGTTTTTTGATTCACATGCTGGCTGGAATTCCAACACCAACCCCGAAAAAGTAATTGATGAGGACTTGAAATAAACCAGCCTTTGTGAAAAAAAGACAGAAGGCTTCGAGGCTCTTGGAATCACTCCAGACCATGATCCTCTTGGAATCACTCCAGCCTTGGGAGCGCCAGCCAGGACCTTTGGACATTGATCCGCGGAAGGATGTCATCCATGGAGTCAGCCACTCTCCATTCTTTGAAGGCGCTTCATCCAGTTTTGTCGGACCTAGAGTACAAGTCAAGGGGTGCAAGGGCTAAGTCGGCTAAGCCAACAAGTTGATGTAGACAACATACATCAACACTTAGATCCGCATGCTTTAGAGCCAACTATCAGTTAGTTTCAAGGACAAGATCTGCGGGAAAAGGATATATATATATATATTTTGATATGTTGGTGTTGCCCTTTCTTTTGAGGATTCATTCCAGCAGTTTTTGTGTTTTTTTGTTTGCAGTTTTTGGCAATGCCATGCATTACCTTCTTTGTTTGCATTGTTTTTTTGTGCATTGCTTTCCTTGCGAGTTTGCAGGCTGGATCTACAATGTCACCCTCTTCAAAAACGCCTTGGTAGCGGAGGAGGCGCCCTTGAGGGAGGGTCACCGGCTGACTCGAGAGGCTCTTTCGACCTGGGGAGGAACTCCTCCCAGTGTCACGACTTGAGGATCCAAGTGAAGACGACCTGATGAGCACTTGCTCGATGAATGGCGTGAGCGGTGCCGAGCTCTCTGGGTCCGAGCTCTTTTTTTCATCGGAGCACAGGAGAATCCCCACGACGTTCTTCGACCAGTTCGAAACAGCGAGGGCCCTGAAGACTTGCATACCATCCTGATGCTACATGGTGGGGAATTGGTCTATGTGAATCAGTCTGTCCAAACCAACCTGCGACTGCCTAGTTACGTATCATGTCTTAATTATTGTCGGGTCTCCTTGCAAAAACTGCCAATTTCGATGATGGATTTGGAGGTCGAGTATATTTGAGGTCGAAGCTGGATGGTTGGTTTTTCTTCAAAAAAAGACTTCTGGGACAGTGGACAGATATTCCACTCTCACCATTCAACCGGATCTCCGAATGGGCCATTCAAACCTATCCAACGTCGCAGGTGCGAGGCCTCTATGAGGCCGGACGCGACGCCCACCGTTCGGCGAAGTAGCGCATGGAATAACAACAATACCCTATAGCGCTTCCAAGGGGTGCCCGATGGAGTCCTGAAAGTAGTGACCCCTTGGAAGCAGCTGGTATGCATAAGAATGGTTAGTAAGGCCCTTCACATGCGAATGACATTTCCCGATGGGGGACGAGGACCGGGGAGGGTTGAACCCAAGGTTGATTTAGTCCATTTTTTGGGGCAGGACGCACCACAGAAACACGTGCTTCACCCTGGCTGCACCCGCAAACGCATGCGAACAGCCCCCTCCGGTCATGGTGGGTTCGTTTGTTCTTCTTTTGATCTATACTCAAAGATACTCAAAGTAAAGCCCACTTCTGGGAGCCTCCCGATGTTGCGACTTTGACCAGGGGAAAACCAGTAGGCATCATGGACTTGTGCCTGAAAGGTCTTTCCGTGTTTTCACCCTAGTCTTCCAGGTCCAAGACCATTAAAGAAAGTAAGGTTGGCCACTGAATTACATTGTTATCCAAGATCTACTAGTGAACCATGTGTTTTATGTGTTCTGTTTCAGAAGGCACCGTTAGATCAAGGGTTGGAATCTTCGGGATCCCCGGGTTTAGCTGCCATTTCTTTTTTGGTCTTTTAGCTCTTTTGCTTTCGCAGAAGTTTCAGATCAACCCTTCTTTAAGTGGATCCATCTCGATTGATCGTCAGCTGATTACTGCAATTCATTAAGTCCAGAGCCATGTCTATGAACGTGACATTTCTGCAGCTGAATGGCGAAGCGATGGTTCTCAAAGTCATGCCAGATATGACTGGCCGAATGCTGAAGCAGCAGATCGAAGAGCAGTTTTCAGACGAAGTCACGCGCAAAACAAATCGTGTGGAGGTAGTTCTGGGGGACAACAAGTTGCTAGAGGATGGTGAGAGGATTGCCGATGCAGGACTTGCTCCAGATTCGCATGCGACTGTAGTGTTCAAGGAGAACAAAAGGATCTGCTCCGACCAAAGACATTTAACCCCACAGTTTTTCGATGGATCCTCGGGATCTTTCATTGCGGTTGAAGTCCCCAGTAGCACAACGGAAATTGCTTCAGGTGCATTCAGGAGCTGCCAGATGTTGGGTAAATTAATCGTCCCGCACTCGGTGACGCACATTCGAAGTAGTGCCTTTGAGGACTGCAGTTCTTTGGCAAGTGTGACCATTTCTGAATCGGTGACCCACATTGGAGACTTGGCCTTTGCGCAGTGCAGCTCTTTGGCAAGTATGACCATCCCTCATTCAGTGACCTACATTGGAGAGCATGCTTTCGCAGGATGCCGGTCTTTAGCTAGTCTGACCATTTCCAACTCAATTCTGCACATTGGGCATGGTGCGTTTCAGAGCTGCAGCTCTTTGGCTAGTATCTCCATTCCCAGCTCAGTGACACGCATTGGGGAGGGTGCCTTTCAGAACTGCAGCTCTTTGGCTAATGTCACTATTC